GGAAACCGCGTAGAAAAAAGTCTATACTACGTTTTTTGGCGAAGATAGTTTTTATTAAAGTCCGGACGAAAAGCTTCAGGGAGCATTTGAACAGCTGGTAAAGGTTTTTGCACAGAAATTTACATTTTGTTTTGTTTGAATGGCTTTCTTTTCCTTAAAATATTGACGGTGTTCGTGCAGCTTGTCCGTGTAGGGCGAGACCGCAGGGCGGTTACTTTCAGGCCAGGTGTCAGTTGCTAGTTGTGCAAAAAGACCGATTTTGATGGGCTTGATTGTCGCGCGTACCGATAAATGCAGATAAAGATGCTCTTTCTTCAGTGTGCGTTTACTTGTTCAGCTCATCTTGGATGACATTAGCCAAAAATCAGAATTTGGAATATATTTACTCAAGCAACTTGTATAAGCGTTGACAAAAGCTCATCCATAAGTAATGTGATGATTCATTTACTTCTGACTTTGGATGGTTTCACAACTTTCACAATTTAGTTTTGCTTGGTAGTAGTGGCGCAGGCCTGTAATCCCCGTTTCTCAGGAGGCTGAGGCGGGAGAATACGAGACCAGCCTGGGCTACAGTAATGAGTTCAAGACCAGCGTGGACTACGGATGGAGTGACACCCTGCCTCCAAGAACAAACAAACAAACCCAAAATTTAATTTTTTTTTTTTTTTTATTCTCAGGGTTTTTTTTTAATGATTTTATTGAGAAACATCAATGAGGCAGTTTCAAAACTGATGTATTAGTACAGTTTCAATTAATACATTGCATATTGTTGTCTTATTGGTTATTCATTGTACAAGATGCAGACATGATATCCTGTCCACAAACACTATTAGAACAAATCTCTCTATTGAATTAAGAAACTGTAGCTGTATGTCTGTCCTATCATGAATATACAGATACAAAATGGTCATTCATTGGTATCCCCCTTTTTTGTTTAGTTTTGTCAGAGATGGGTATTGCATTGTCATTTAAATATTGTAGGTGTGTGAATTCAGCAAAATATTCCAATATAGTCTAGTAGTCCATAATAGTAGTGGGTTATCCCTAGGACTGGCAATGCCAGAGGTTGTTGACTTGAGCCTTTTACAGTTCAGCATATTAATATGGTTTTACTTTTTATACCTCGTTTTTATACTTTTGTGCTGGATGATTAAGACCAAGATAGAGCAAGACCTATATAACAAGAAATGTAACTTTTGTATTTAATAAGGTCAGTCAAATCCCCTCAGGATTTGTCCTGAAACTAGGTACTACAGTTTGTAGATCCTTTTGTCAGTGTCAGCCATGTGGATGACAGTGTCAGCCATGTGGACAAAATTTAATTTAAAAATGAACTATTCCTGTTGAAACTTAATAGAAAAGTAAAATCCAAAACAAAAGGAATGATTTTTGTTGTTGTTGAGCATTTTTAAAGTTAGCATTGGACTACATAAAGGTTAAGATATTTTAGCATGTTGTACATGTGGGATCTTTTATATTTTAGTGTGTTTAATAAGGATCCTTTGTGCATAGTGAAACATGTGAGCTTACAGTATGTTGAACTTTTTCTCTATGTAAAATATATTGTGCTTGCCTTTGCATACCTCTCTCTGAAGAGGCTGCCTAGCATCCTTTTACCTTAAGTCTAAGCCAGAAAATGGTTTAAAGCCACTAACTGATATTGGTAATCAATTAAAATGCAGTTTTCTAATTTTCCATGATTTTATTGATGTGTCAGATATCTAACTCCACTGGTAAAATGTTAGAAATTTTTTTATGAGAAACATTATATTAGAAATAATTTATGCCTTAACTTTGTTTCAGAAGCATACAGCTTTTGCTACTTTCCCCAGTGAAAAGGCAGCAATAAAGGTATGTTTTCTTTTTCTATTAAATGTATCAAAAATTTATAATTCTTTAATATTGATATAAAAATGACAATGTAAAACTACAATTTTAAAATTTAATCTGATTTTTTATTTTATTATATTTGTGGCATTGGAGATTGAATTTAGAGCTAAATCCTCAGCCCTTTTTATTTATTTATTTTCTAGACAGGGTTTTGTTCAGTTTATAGGTTTGCTAGGCTGGGCTCAAACTTATGGTCCTTCTGCCACAGTTCCTCAGAGTGTGGGGATTGCAGATGTGTACCACGATGCCCAGCTAAAAACTAATATTTTTAAAAGCATTTTCTTCTCCAAAGAGATTTGCTTAAGAGGCTGCATTTGATTTTTCACTTGGAAGAGCTTATCCAAGTTTTTTTTAGCACATGAGGTTAGTAGATTAACTGTAAAGCACGCTAAAATTATCTTATATAATTAAAAATAAGTTATGATGGATATAACAGTAACTTCCTGGTACAAGACAAAATATATTGGAAGACATAAACAATTTGAAAAGGAGCTAACCTTTGGACTAGACATCTGATGTTTTGTTGAATTTTAAGAAGAAAACAGGGGAGGTGAATCTTCTAGTTTTGGGGAAAACCAAACGTATGTAATACGGAAAGTTTAAGTAGGGCAAGAGCCAAAGGTTGCAATGGAAACAGGAATTGAAAGATTGAAACTGTCTGAATTTAAGTGAAAGAGAGGTGTTGAATTTTGTTTGGTGTGATGAAAGTGTTTGATGCTTTTGAGCTAGCTACAAATATGATCAGACCTGGGAAGCGTAACTGCTAGATGTTATATCACCCGTTGAGTGTAGGGAAATAGTAGAGGAGGACCCGGAGGAGAACTGTTTCTTGTCAGGGCAAGAGCAGGAATGAGAAGAGCAGTGGGAAGACAGGCGTACATGTAGAGTTGGTAGGATTTGACTTTGAAGGTCTTCGCATGTAGGGGTTAACGGGTTAGTTGTTTTTTGATTGAATGTATTCATGAAGAACTAGAGTGAATTCATCTGGCATCTCAGCTTTGAAGGATCATTGGACCACTTTGATGGAAATATTTAGAAAACAATTTAGAATCCTGGCAACTGAGGCCAGGTCGAAAATGGAATGGTGTGAGTGGTATGAAGGTCCAAAGGAAGACTGGAAGGAAGCAGGTAGGAGTGAGAACTTTAAAAGAATGGTTGTAGGTGTTACGAGTGTTTTAACCTGTGACCATACTTGATGCTGCGATGACCCATATTGAAGAGTGAGTGCAGTTTTATCAGTTAAGGACTTTTGGCCAGTAGAAACAACCCAAATTCTGATCAGTACGGGAGAAGGGGTACCTTACATTGTAGCACAGTTTGAGCATCCTCAATCTGAAGTGTCACAAAATCTGAAATTTTTTAATTTCATGTATTTTCTACAAGCGGGAAATTCTGTACCTGTTTTTATGTAAGAACTTGGAGTTAAAATGGAGGCACAGTAAAAACACTGCATAAAATTACATTAGGCTGTGGTTCTAAAGCAGATAAAAAACATAAATGGATTTTATGTTTAGACTTAGGCCCAACCCCAAGATGCTTTCTTATGCATGTGTAGATTTTCTAAAATCTGAGGAAATGCAAATCTGAATTCTGGTCGTGCACATTCCAGAGAAGGGGTATTCAACCTGTGCATCCACATTCTGGGTTGCAGTTGTCCGAGGAGAATATCAAGCGGTGTGAAACAGTATGTATTGGTAGAGAATTGTAGACCGTATAGAGTACATGAATAAAATTGTGAAACAGTTTCAACTGTAGATGTTTATAAATACACAGAAAAATGTATGGCAGAACTGTATCCCACATTAACGTAAAGTTTGAAGCAAATGCCAAATTGTTTCAGTATGTCTTAGAGGAAGATTACAGAAGGCTTTGAAATACTTTTGTGATATCTAGGAAATTTTTCTTGCTGGCAAAATGTTTGCTTAGGATATGTTGCCTTTTTCAGATTTTGGAACATTTCAGATTAGGATCTTTCTGCTTTGATGAGACTTTGGATCCCCTTTATTGTTCCATGGTTCAAAGTCTTTTACTAATAAACTGTGTATTATAGTAAGCTATACGTAAAGTAAGATAAGGAAGAACATATAGTTTTAAGATCAAGATTAACTTGGAGGAAAGAACATGAAACCAGACGTTTAAATAAGTTACCAGCAAGTAAGTGGTCAGAGTCTTAGACTAGAGTTTACTTGACCTTAGTGGGAGCTGGTAAGAAACTAAAGGAAGAAATGTTAAGAGTAAGAGCAAGTAGCTGAGAGAAGAGAATTAGTAAACATTCAAAATAAAGTCATACATCTTTTAAAATAGATACCTGACGTCCACTTTGTAAGCAACAAGTTCAGCTCATATGGCCTTCATTTTAGAGAGTCAAGGATTCACTATTAGTTAAAAAGTCTAAGATTAATTTAGGGTCTTAAATTATTGAAGCATTTTAAAACTTGCTTTGTATGACAAAGTAAGGAGGCAAATAAGGATACATCCAAATGGTAGCATAATTTATACCTGGGGTAAGCCCTACAATTCCCTGTGTTCAAAAAAATACTAACATGGGTGTGTGCAAGAGGCGATTTAGACGTTGGGATATGTAAGTAAACAGAGTAAAGATCCCCTCGCTGACACATTCTGAAAGTGAAAGACAGGTTATAAGTAATAAACTTGTTTACCATTTTAGAAGATAAAATGCTCTAGTAAAAAAAAAATAGCAGTAAATAAATAGAAGGAGCACTGGATGGGGATTGGGAGGGGTCAGGTTGTTGTCCAGATCATGTTTCCCCAGTGACCCGAAGGACAGGAAAGAAGCCAGCTAAGGAAGCGCCTGGAATAAATGCATCTCATTCAGAGGAGCAGGGGGAGCAAGAAATCCTGGAGCCAGAACATGCCTGCTGTTTTTAAAGAGTCCACTTACTGGAGCAGACAAAATCAAGTGGAAATCGTGGGATTTGTAATCAGAGGAGGAGTAGTGTCCTCATTGTGTGGGTTATAGTGAGGATGTTGATTTTACTCTGAGACAAACAAGGAGTCATTAGCATATTCTGAGCAAAGATGGTTTTGGTTGTATTGAGAAGAGACTGAAGAAAGGGAAGAGCAGAAATACTAAATCTCATGAAAGATGATTGTGATTTTTGTTTTATTGTTTTAGTCTTTCTGAGACAGGTCTTGCTGTGCTATTCAGGTTGGCCTTCAGCTCACTTTGTCTCCTAGGCTGGTCTCAAACTCACACAACAATCCTTCTGCCTCAGCCTCCTGAGTGCTTGGGTTATAAACATGTTCCACCATGCCTGGCAATTTCGATATTTTAGTCCAGAGATGATAATTGCTTGGACCATAGTTGTGGTGGAAGTGGTAAGCAGTGATTAGATTATGGGGACATTCGGAGGTAGAAACAGACTAGATGTGTTGATGCCCTGTATATGGAATGGAGGAAGAAAAATTAAGGTTGATTCTTTTTTGACCTAATGAGAAAGATTGGAATTACCATTAACTGAAATGGAAAAAGGCTTCTTCGAGAGTTAGTTGGGGTTAAGAGAGATAAAAGTGGTTCAATTTCTGAAGTATTAAATTTGAAATTTTCATTTTATACCTCAGGGATTTATACATTACTTGTATGTTTGGTTCCTGGACTTAAAGGCAGTTTGGGGCTGAAAATATAAATTGAGAAGTCAGCCAGCCATGGTGGTACGTGCCTATAACCCCAGTACTCTAGGAGGCTGATAATAGGAGGTTCGTAAACTTGAGGCTGCAACTTAGCAGTTTAACAGGAGCCCTGTCCTAAAAAGGATTCAGTCCCCCAGCACTGCACGAATGTTTTTAAAAATTGAGAAATAAATTCACAAATCATTAGCATAGGGATAGTGTCATGGTTTGGGATTTTTGTAAGGGAACAATACACACAGGACACATTTTATAAGATTTTATAATCACCCAAAGAATCATATACAAAGAGTGCAGGAACTCTGAAGATCTATCACTCATAACAATACCTCCTCTAAATCGGGTTAGGGCGTAGAGCCCGCGACACTGTCTCATGCAGACCCCACACGGATCTGTGCTGGGAAGGTCAGTTGTGGAAGCTAGAAAATCTGTGCTAGCAGGCTGGGAGCTCTGCACTGGAGCCAGGAAGCAGTGCTCAAGTGAGAACCAGAGCTCCCCTCCGAAAGTGCACAGCCATTCTCAGCAGCAGTGAGGTCCCGAGCTCCTCCAGGAATAAGGAAAGCCGGTGTGACAGGCTTCTCCAGGAGACTGAGCAGTGCACCATTTCCCCTCCAGAGCTGGGAAGTGATGGCTTCCTTAAGACGAGGACCAGAGCTCCCCCAAAGTGAACTGCAGCCATTCTCAGTGACTGCGTGGTCCCGTGCTCCTCTTGACAGGAACAACCAAGTTCATCAGGAAAGCCAGCATGGCAAGGTCCTCCAGCAGAACAGCCCAAGAGAACCAGCAGTTTCAACGCCCTCTCCAAACAGCTTCTCTAACAGCCTCCCAACATCATGCTAGAGCAAAGCTGCTTACTAAGGAAGCAGAGGAGAAGGGGCAGGGCGAAACATGTGCCCTTCCATAGGCCCCAGCATCTGTGTCCTCCAAACAGCCCTCCTCCTAGCAGTACACTTAGCTGTGGACTTGTCAGCACATTCACCTACTGGGGTGCAAACATCCCTGGGATCTGATCACCCTCCAAAGCCTACCTCTGAGCACACACCTCTGGGGACATTTTTGATTCAGATCATAACTGACCATCAAGTGAATGTATTTAAGAAAAGAAGACCAAGAATGGGCCTTTTGGAGCATTCTAGCATTACATGATTATGAAAAGGGGCCTCCAGAAATAGAGGCATAAAAATTAGTAAACCAGGGCAAAAATTAGGAAAAATGAAGCCTTGAAACCAATTGAATTATATGTATCAGGGAAGAGTGTTAACTACGTTTAGTGTTGTATTAGGAAGGGGAATGGTTGACTGTTGGCAGTACAGAATTTGTAGTTATCTCTGACAGTGTCAGTTGATTTAAAATATAAACCTGGCTGGAATAGGAGAAAAAGAGTTAAGACGGGATATAGATAAGGTTTAACCTTTTTTCCTGCAACAATAAAAATGAATACTGATAAGTGAGATTTTCAAGGAAGAAATAAGTTCAGGCTGAGAAATACCGCTAGATGTGATCCAGTGGAGGAAGAAAATTAGTACTTTATATATGAATACCCTCCTCACCTGTCCAGAGGAAGACTTGAGTAGATGAGAGGCTAGAGTTCGGCAGATTAAGTCATGCAGCTGGATTTGTATTCGTTAATTTGTGACAAGGGATGTATGTAACAGAACACGTGGTGCAGGTGCTGGTGGGTAGAATTGTGCGGGGCGTCTGTAGTTCTTACTTGGTTTCTTCATTTTTCTCAGAATGCAAGGTGCTAGGCTAAGGGAAAGGGAGAGGAAATATTGTGAAGTTACGGATTAAGCAAAGTGCAAAATACTGTCCTAGAAACTAGAAAAAATGGGGCTGTGGTGGGCTGTGATTGATACATTGTGTGGCATCGTTAAGGGCCTCCCTGTGTTTTGTGGTTTGAATTTAATAATAGGTGAGGCAAATCTATGTATTTTCTGGCATTTTGCGATTTCTACATTGTAAGTTGAGAAGGTAGAGAGTTGGAGTTAGCCTGATTTTGTTGTTGTGGTTGTTGTTAAATTATACCAAATATAAGGGCCAGCCAAATAACTCAGTAGATTAAAGTGCCAGCAAGCAGGGGCCAGGGGCCAAATGTAGTAGTTTTTCATTAAGTAATAAAGGCTTGATAGCCTGAAAAAGAAAAGAAGTGGGCTGGAACTGTGGCTTGGTGGTGGGGTACCTGGCTAGTGTGTGTGGTCTGTCAGACCTGGAGCCCTAGCACTACTGGACTAGTTGCTTACTCCGGAGTAAGTAAATAAATAAAAATGGGAAATAGCCGGGGAAATGTTTGACACATTAAGAACAACAATAAAAATACGCATATTTTTATACAAATATGTATATAAATACATACAAATGTGTGTATGTACCACTCTGATACATGGTAGCTAGCAAGTATTTTTGAGATAATTACCACATTCTTCTCTTCTAATTAAAGGCACTGACCAGGCTCCACCAACTGAAACTTTTAGGTCATACTTTAGTTGTTGAATTTGCGAAAGAGCAAGATTGCGTTCATTCTCCTTGTCCCCCTTCAGGCTCTGAAAAAAAGAAAAAGTAAGTAGAGCTGTAGATTTTCCTGCCATTTAAAAAGTGTGAAAGAAAAGTGTGGGTTTTTTTTATTATTAAAAAAATCAGTTGTATAGTTATCAGACTATTTTCACTTAATAACCAAATAATTTGAATCAGAAATGATGTGCTTTTCTATTAAATCTAGCATAGTCAGATGGCCTGGCTTTGCTTCTCGTTGTGCCTTAGGAATCTGCTGATCTCGTGGGGTGGGAGAAAGTGAGGTAAAAGCGCTGCCCTTGCAGTGCACGGAGCGCAGGCTGGTGAGTCAGCCTCAGAAGTGCTCAGCGCCGGAAGGCTGTCAGGGTTTTTGTTGTTGTTTTCATATTTGCAGGTGTATAAGAAATTATAGTAAGGGTAATACCTAAGTTTTAATCATAAAATCAGCCTTTTCTGTTGTTTATGTGCCTCATGCATAACTTAAAACTTAACTTTATTCAGTGTTCTGACTTTGCCTGGGGTTTTTTGGCTGTGCCCTGTTACATGAGGCCAAGTATGGAATTTTCCACTTGCAGCATCCTATTTGAATCTCAGAAAGGTCAGATTTTGGAGTTTTTTGGATGGCAACCTATGGTATAAAGTTCTTTTATTAAAGACAGTAAGGTGTCGTGAATGAGCAGCACCTTTGAGCTCAGATGCTGGCATTTGGTTCCCAGCTCTGACTCTATAGTTCAGGAGCTCCTCATTGAATCAGAATCCTGAGGGGAGGGTCAGAGGTAAGTCTAGGCATCTGTATACATGTGAACAAAGCTACACAGCAAAGAACCGGGGAGCCTCTAGAAACTGCATAAATTGTACTTTTATTTTTTGAGCCAGTGAGAATTATTAGACCATATAAGTTCTTTTCTTTTTCAAAAAATAAGATCAACTTGTCTGTATTCTAGGTCTGATGATCCTGTAGAAGATGATAAAGAAAAAAAAGAATTTGGTTGTTTAACAGTAGAAAATGGAATTGCACCAAACCACGGGTTAGCACTTTCTGTTTTCCTATTTTGATTTCATCGTTCCAATTAGAACTTTAAAAAAAAGTTGTTAAAGTTTAAATGTATTTCTTGTATAATTATAATACGTTAAATAGACATTCTGAAGTAAAGACTTAATCACTGAATTTAGTTCAGAGAAAGCGTCTATTAAAATGTTCAGAGCTCTAAGTAAGCTCTGATGTGGAGTGCTTCCTGTGACACAACCAGCAGGCACATTTCCTCCTAAATTCTGGGAGCTTTGAACCAGGGTAAATGTGAATGCTACACTAAGGTGTCCGACAGGGCACATTCGAGTTGTGAACTTCCACCGATGCGAATGGACCACACATTTCAGAAATTCATAGATGAGGACGAGTGATGACAGCGGCTCAGTGTCTGCCAGATGTGGGCATGCTGTGCTGCTGTGTGCTCAGCGCAGTGCAATTCTGCCCAGCAGGGCAGTGCTCAGCCAGAGCCCAGGGTGCCCAGAGCAGAGGCCGTGCTGGTGTGGAGGGCAGGTGTGTGTGGCAGAGGTGTGGGAGCCTTGGTCAGACTTAGGAATGCTACTTACCGGCTTTCTCCCAGACGAAGCTCATTTGTAAGTTGGGGACTTACTGCATATCATTTGAACAGATTTGTATGTTCTCAACTTACTTAAAATAGATTATTGAAATAATAAAAATTTAAAAATTTTTTTTCAGGCTGACTTTTCCTCTCAATTCATGCCTCAAGTATATGTACCCCCCACCTTCCAGCGCAATCCTGGCCAACATAGTAAATGCTTTAGCAAGTGTGCCTAAGTTCTATGTGCAGGTGAGTAGGTAACACTGACTTTGCGCCAAGTGTGCATTCGTGTAAATCAGTAATTTATTTTCCATGCAGTTTCTTGACGTACGGTGATGTTTATCAGTCTTACTCTAGACAAATAATGAAATATTACTGCTCAGAGGTATAGGCTTTTGTAAACTTGTTGTAAATGGATGCTAATAAAGAGAAGCATTTTGGGAAGTATAATTTGTGCTCACTCTTACTGTTTTTTAATGTCTTTGGTACAGGGTCTCACTACACAGCTCAGACTCGTAGTGATGCTCCTGTTTTCAGCCTCCCCAGCGGTGAGATTATAGGCGTAGGCTACTGTGCCTGGTCTTGGTGGCTGGCTCAGCTTGCCCAGGGGCAGGGCTGGCTCAGTGTGTGGTGCCAGGGATTGAGCCCAGTCCCTGTGCTTGTCTAAGCAGGTGCTTAGTCCACTGAGCCATCTCAGCAGCCTTGTACCTCATACTTTATAATGTATCATACATAGTGGACCTGAAACAGCAAATGCTTGAAAATTTTGCCATTAACAAGATTAAGTTAGGAAATACAGATGCATATAGTTTTATTGACTGTTAACATGGTCTCACAATAACCAGAAACTAGGATGTGAAAGTGTTTCAGTAGGTTTTACAAGGCAAGAGAGCTACATTTTAGTAATGAGAATGATTGTAGACATGAAAACCCATTTTAAGCAAACTAACCTTCTGAGATAGAGTGCTTTGTTCTCCCTAGTCTTGGGATTATAAAGGCAAGTGATATGCCCTCCTTTGTAGTAAACTAATTAATGTTACTACAAAGTAACATACATTTTTATTACATGTGAAATGGAGGTTGAATCATTATTTCATATTATGTGATTTTAAATGTTTTGCAATTTTTAAGGTGCTTCACCTTATGAATAAGATGAATTTGCCCACACCTTTTGGACCAATTACTGCACCACCTCCCATGGTAAGAACACTTCAGATTTTTAAGTCAAATTTTCTACATGGGATTAGAAGATAAAGTATGCAAGTCTTTGCTATACATGGAAAATAAGGGTAGTACATAAAGTAAATGTGACATTCATAATAAAGCTGGGCACTGAAGAAGCTGGAATAGGAAATAAATGACTTTGGTAGTAGACACCAAAGTTTCTTGCAGTCTTGTTCATTTCTTTGATCAGAACATTGTCAGTTGCATTTAAGCTATTAAAAATTCCATTCTTTTATTTATAAGTAGAGCTTCATTTGGAAAAGACAATTTGCTAATATTTTTATTAGAATTTATTGCGTAAATCATTCTCTTGTTATCATTTTGAGCATTAGCATAGAGAATTTGATGTGATGTTAGATGCTTTTATACTGTATTATTTCCTAATTCTTCATTACAGTGATTTTTACATTACAGAGTTACTAAGGTTAAACTAGGTGCTGTGAACATAAATTCTTTAACACAGTAGCAGTTACTTCTCAGGCATGTCAGTTCAACTTCAGTAATAGGCCAGAGGGAGTTTGTGCTCTACTGAGTCATTCAGAAAACCTGACATGTCTTCATGTACTTTCCCAGATCAGGAAGGAATAAACAATTATATACGAAGTATTTTGTACTCATATTTCATCGGTTAAAATTTAATGAAGTGTAATTGTAAAGGAGATTCATAAACTGTAGTGTAGCTAAGGGACAAAGAAGGCAAATTTTGTGATTAGCTAGTGGTCTGCCACAGTAGGTGTTCTTGGGGCCAGGGAGATGGCTCAGTAGAATAAGCACTTCCCTGGCAAGTGCAAGGGCCTGAGTTCAATTCCCGGTTCCGCCAAAAAAAAAAAAAACAAACCGCAGTAGGCGTTCCTGTATTAAAGAATATCGCGCTGTAATTGAGAATCAAGTACTGAGATGGAGCGATTTGTCTAGTGTTTAAAGACCACAGATGGCTTTAGCGATTTGCTTTTCCTTCAGTATGAAGACTACCTGCCGCTGCACGCGCCTCTTCCACCTGCCTCTCCTCAGCCGCCAGCAGAACCCCCATTGCCTGAGGGAGATGAGGAGCTGTCTAGCCAGGAATCGGAGTACAAGAGCAGTGATGAGGAGGACCGGCAGAGGTGTGCAATGTGAAACAGTTGTTTAGCTTTCCAGGAACAGAATGTGTGAGAGACTGTTGTGCTTTTCGCGCTTTTTTCTTGTAATTCTTAAAATTTTGTACAGGGAATTTATTGTCAGTTCCGCCAGCTGCTCGAGATTGTGTGATGGCTGTAGATTAAGACCCAGGGATGGATTCTAACCTAACCTAAAGAAAAATGTCTGTGCATAAATTTTAGATCAGTGAATTTGATATTAGAAAACATAGTTATTTATGAATTTTACATTTGTGAATTTGACTACTTAATACGTTTATTTATAGCCCAAAGTCCATACCTGCTGGGCTCTGACAGTACCTTTTGAGTGTAGGTAGGTGCGTATGCTGAGAAACCACTCACCTGTCATGTGCAGTTCCAACTGGGTCTGAACAGTGGCTGTGTTAACATTGCATCGTAATTGCGAGGTACTTAGGTAACTTCTTTTATCTCCCAGCTTTAAAAGTTCTAGCCTGTAATCAATTAAGGCCTGTGGTGAAAGCACAGCAGAGCATGTGGTGTCCTAACTGCTTACCACGTGTCTTGGAATGAGAAAGAGCCCACAGTCCCATAGTTGCTGTCGCGGGTGCGTCCCTTCTTTGCACTAGCGGCTTCTCACCAGATCCGGACTCCTCTAAAATTTCCACCAGCTCCCAGCAGAGCCACTCTGAAGACTAAGCTTTACTGTACAGGCCCTGAGGACGTTCCAGGCCCAAGCCAGCAGTGGCCCTTGCCCTTTTGTTTCAGTATCAGTGTGTACGAGTGTTTTTATGGTTTATCTAGTGTCTTTTCTTCGCAGTGTTTAGCTGTGTGTTTTTGATTTTGCTGACCAGAATGGCCCTTACAGTGTTGAAGTGTTGTGTAGTATACCTAAAAGGAAGAAGGGGTGTGTGGTATGGGAGAAAAACAACATGCATTAGATAAACTTCTTTTAGATAATCTGTTGGTGACCGAGATCAATGCTATAGAATCAACAATGTATATATATAAATCTGGTGTTCAAACTCACGTAAAGCAATTTGTGGGAAGGTCATCTGATAAAGGGTAAGCAGATGGTTGTAGGAACAAACTCAAGTGTGCTTCATTGTTCGCTGGTATGGTATTAGTAGTAACCTTACAGCACAAAACTATTACAGATAATAAATATAAGTTACATGAGTATTTTGACAGCTTATTTCCCTCAAATACATTCATTTCAAAGAATCTAACAAAGAATAGCAAACTGTTAATAATGTTCAGATACAGACTACAATCTAGCCAAGAATGGAAATTGCCTAGCATGTGCTTTGTAAATAGCAAGTAGGCCTGCCCTGTGAGCTGGATCATCTTTGATACTTGTCTTACTACTGAGCTCCTTGGGTTTTTTTTGTTTGCTTTGTTTTGGTGATACTGGGAATTGAACCCAGGCCTTTGCACTGAGCTGTAGTGCCAGCCCTTTTTATTTAGAGACAGGATCTCACTAAGTTGCTCAGGGTTTTTCCTCTTCTTCCATTTTACTGGGACTTTAGGGGTCACCACATCTGGCTGTTATTCTGGTGGTAGGACAGCAGCCATGACCATAAGTGCTGAGATGTGACTGCTCCAGCCAAAGTGTACAAGAGTTGGTGCCTGCCTACCTTTGGTTCTGTGGCTGTAGTTGCCAACGCCAGCCTGCGCACGTGATTCAGGAAGACGATGGCGATCTTGGGTCGCCATGCTCAAAAGTTAGATATAAAAGGAGAGCCTGACATGAGCTGGCACCAAAGCAGAGACTAGCGCAGTGTCTGCAGATAGGCAGTGGCCATGGGGGCAGTCTGCATAAATAGTGATTTGATGCACGCCCTATTTCTGTGGTGAAGCAAAGTATAGATGGGTGTGGACCTACCACATGGGAGCTAATGGCTGCTTGAATAGAGGCAGTAGGGCAACTGGCAGCGCATGAAGCTGAAGGCAGCTCTTTAGTTTGTTAATGGAAAAAATAATATTAAAATGTTGAATGGATTAATTATCCTTTTTTTTTTTTTTTTTTTTTGGCGGAATTGGGGATTGAACTCAGATGCTTGCATTTGCCAGTCAAGCGCTTATCCTACTGAGCCATCTCCCCGGCCCCCTAATTATCCTTTTTTGAACTTTTTTTTTTTTTTTAAATAATGATAGTAAGTAAAAAATGTTGCATGAAGACTTGCGAAAACCCTTCTTCCTTGTTTTGGTGGGGGGGGGGTTGTTTTGTTGTTAGCTTTCCATTTATAGATGTACTGTAGAATTCTGCTAATAATTCATCTTGCCTCATGGGAGACAACAAAGACTTATATCCCTGCCTTTGATTGCATGCTTCTGTTTCAGCTTCTAGAAATGTAACAAAACCTTTAGAAGTATGGTAAAATTAATTGATTCAGGAAGTATTTATTGACTTTTAAATGTATGCTTAGCTTCACATAACTAGCAACTGTCTGTACTCTTAATAGAAAAGGTCTCCACTAAGTCTTTCACAGTAATTTACTTCAGAGTGTGGTATTTGAAAACTTTGTTTTCACATAGTTTGATCTTCTGTAATGAATTATTTGCAAGAATTATGCATACAGTGCTTTTCAGTAACATCCTTAGTCCGTGCTTTATTTGATAATTAGAAAATGACCACCTGCCTGGCAGGCATGAGGGCCTGAGTTTGATTCCCAGTACCCCAGAAAAGAAAGTGAACCATAATAATTTCAGCCAAGTGTGGTGGTGCAGTGCCGTGTTCAGCTCTAACCTAGGCAGCTTAGTGACTTTGCAGAACTTTTGTCTCAAAATGAGAGATCAAAGAGGACTGAGATTATAGCTCACTTTCTGGGCCTTTGGCTTAACCCTAGCACCAAAATAATAATGATAGTAATATTACCATATTGATAAGGTCTTTTGGCTCTTTGCCAAGAAAAGAATAATAAAGTTCAGAGGTTACGTTAGTGATTCGTGTCCATTTTTGGCTTTAAGTCCAGGTCTTTTATTTGGCTGACGAAGTTTGCAGTGAAAATGTTTTTTAAAAAATGGATAAATCGTAATTAATGCAGTTCTTCTCTTAGAGTAAACTATAAGTGGAGCAAGGCAAAATTTAGAATGTGCAGTTTTATCAGATTGTGTATCTCTGGTTAGTGGCTTAGAAGTTATCCTCATTCCATACACATATCCCACGTTAGCTAAGTAAATCATGTTATAACATATTTTACATACCTGAATAGACGTGTAAGCTTAACAGAACGTTTCAAATAACTGTGCTTTTAGATAAAGGGATGTTGTTTACTTTTCCTTTCCCCAACATAGAATGACCAAGCTAATGGAACTAGCAAATCTTCAGCCCAAGAGACCAAAGATGAGAAAGCCATGCCATGTGAGGAAGAAACAAAAAATAAAGCATATGTTAGCTACCTCTTTGTCCACTTCACACAGGTAATCTTCCCTAGTTCTGGTGTACCTCATATACTTGGTTAACTCACATTGATCCTTGGTGTGAACTGTGGAATACCAGCCTACCTAGATCATTGTTGGCCTCCTGTTGGCTAGATTCAAGAGTATTCATAATCCACTGTTTTCCAGAATTTAGTATTACGGAGTATCCCAGGTCTCAAAATCTACCATGTGTTATACTACTATCTTTATATGTCTTATATACTGCCTTTTGCTGTTATTTGCAGCCTTATCTTCAGCTTTTATTTTGGCATGCTTCCTTGTAATTTTTAAAATTAATGTTACAAATTGAGATAGGAGTTTTAAAAACTTTCCATAATTTAAAGGAGTAGATTTTTGTTTTTTAAGTGTAAATGAGATATGTAAATATGCCCATCTATGTCTTGACACTGCAGCCTCATGCTTTTAAGCTCTAGTAGTAGGTTAAAATGATAGCAGCAAGTAGTAAGTAATAAGTAGTAATGAACAGTGAACTGGTTTTACAATAGAAGCAAAGCCTCCTGAAATTCTCTGGTAGCCATGTTCCACAGTAAAACCAAATGAATGAAATCAATACTGCTGTTATCCAGAATAAAATCCTATTGTCTGTATAGAAGTAGGTATTTTACATTCTTATATAAGATCATTAACCTGTAGCTAGTTACTATTAGCAGTGCAGTACAAACCTGTATTAACAGGGTGAACTGGCTTCCCCGTATCAGTATGTATTCTGGGGTTTAATATCACCATTCATGTGCTTTCCTTCAGGAGGTTTATGCAAGTTAACATTTTTTAGTTCACATTTATCAGTTTATTGAAACACCAAATATAAGTCATTTTGTGCAGTGCTTGTAGTATAGGAAATGTTAGTACGAGCTTTTTAAATTTAAATCTGTAAGTTTTCAGAATTCTGTTTTCAATCATAAACTCATGTTATGATTTTTTTTAAAATAGCAGTTTACATCCTGTGCTATTACCTTCAGATGTATTTGATCAACCACAACCTGTAGGCAGTAAAAGAATTGAATTCCATATATCTGCTGACATGCCAAATGTATTTAATAAAGATTCACCGAAAGAACAAAATTATGAGGAAAAAAATTGTGGTAAGAATATTTTAATTATTTCTTGTGCTAATCAATTTTATGTGTTATGATTAAAATTTCTATGTCAGAACAATTGTACAAAGAAGTGAGTACCTTAGAACTGTTTCTTTCCTACTGCATGGAGGTAACTGATACTAGTAAGTGGTGTGTGTGCACACGCATCCACCTGAGCGTGTGCCTGCACCCTTCCGGACCTGACCTGTGTGTTAGTTAACCGGGTGCTGCTGTAATAGAATGCATCAGGTAGTCAGCTGCGGGACAGGAAGGATGTACTGGCTGTTTGGGGTTTCGGTTCATGTTGAGGCAGCTTTTGGGGTGGGCTTATCTCTTGGGCAGCACATCCTGGGGGCAGAGATATAGAGGAAGCTGCCTGCTCCTGAGAGGAGCCCAGGAGAGACAGTGAGCAAGCAGGAGACTGGCGTTCTGAAGTCCCCTCAAGAACATGCCCCCCAGCGACGTAAAGACTTGCTTTGAGATGAACATTTATAATAGTATTTATCATTCCCTTAGAAATTACGAGCACCGGCCAAATAGCTCAGTGGACTAAAGTGCCTGCGAGCAGTCACAGGGGCTAGGGGTTGGATCCCTGGCCTGCCATGCAGGCCCCGCCCCAGGGCATGTTGAGATGGCAATTGAGACTGGGTGTGGTAGTGTACCTGTAATCCCAGCTCTTGGGAGGCTGTAAACAGAATCACTCCAAGTCTGATCTAGTAGTAAGACCCTGAACACCCTGTAGACTCTTCCCTAAAATACCCCCCCCAAAAAAAAAATGACGAATAGTGTGTTACATAGCAGATTATGGAGATATGTGACATTTTGTCATGTTTTGGCATTTAGGCTGGGGCTAGGTAATGTTCTGTGTCGGAAAGTGAAAGTACTACTTCATGGTTTAAACATGTCCTTTTATCCTGCCATACTTGGAGAATTTTCACCTTTTTACTACTATAGAAAATACAGGATCTCATCTTTGGTAACCTATCTCTGAGTATTTGTATGAGTGTAAGATCAAATTCTAGTGTTGTAAAGGAGTGAGTGGAAAAGGCTCACTTTAATTTCTGTTTCTGGTGGTTTGTGTTAAGGTGTTGCTTTTTCAGATAGCATAAATTACCTATAACGGGTCCATAAAATTATACAAATGTATGGGGTCAGATTGTTTTTTTTAAGTTTGATTTATAGAAAGCTTTACACCATTGAATGGGGACAGTCATCACATTTTACATCACTATCAAAAGTCCTGACGTTGAAGTAATAGTGGAAACATTTAAAGTTCTTTGTTACTGGTGTTTTTAGGTCGCAGAAGTTCTGTTTCTATAGTGTTTTTCTGAGTGGTGAAAACATTTTTATAATCCTTAATGTGGCATGTTCTTTGCTTCGTTTTCCCACCTATCTCTAGGATATGTTTGATTTTGGTTTTTGTTTAATATAGCTAGAACGTTTCTACTAAAACATTTTAACATACTTCCAAATATTTTCTTGGAAGCCAGTTTGATTCTTACTGATGGTACTCATTGATATTTATGGATACAATTCAATATGTTGCTATTTAAAAATTACAAGTTGAAGCTTTAAATGTGTATGTACTTGTTTTTTTCTGTAATGTAATTAGCACAGGGTCCACAGTGTCTCACTATGCAGATCAGACTTCTAGTGTTCCTCCTGTATTCAGCCTCCTAAGTGCTGGGATCATAGGCCTGTACCACCACGCCCAGTCTCAGTGGCATCTCAGTGTGCCCCAAGGGCAGAGCTGGCACAGCAAGCCAGGATCTAACCCTGGTCACTGTGCCTGCCTGAGCAGGCACCTTAGTCTACTGAGCTAGCTGGTCGACCCTAGTACTTAGCATCAAAATTATTACCCTTTTTAGCGCTTTGGAGGCTGAAAACAGGAGGATCACTATGAGTCCAGATCTGTGTAGTGAGACCCTGTAGACCCTGTACTAAATACATTAAAAAA